AAAATTATAACTGGGGCACACAGACTAAATCACTTTTCTGTTCTTTACTTTAGAAGTGTCGGAGAACAACTCCTATACTTATCTGGCCATTGTCCGGAAATCGTTGCATAGCCGCTTTATTTTATGGCTTCCGGTACAAGTCATCACAGCTGATGTCAAACTGAACATTTTAAGGTCACTTCGCGAAATACCATGTTGAGATTTTGTGGCCATTACCATGTTTTTTTGTTTTTTTTTCGTTGTTTTCTTGATTTCTTGACCCTTTACAACGCGTGCATAATAAACTGAGCAGCAGCTGTTTGCATTACAGCCGGGGCAAATTTAGGATGGGAAGCTTAAAAATAACGAATGGAGGGAAGCGACAGTTTTTAATACGTCGCCGAGTTGCGGGAAAGGTATGCGCGAACGGCGCGTGCCACGGAGCACGCGAGCTCATCTCGGGCGGTGAGCGACGCTCTTGGAATATTGGTTCCCGGGGCGGCACCTAGCGCCCATTTAATCGCTCAGGAGCACATCGCGTTGAAGCGAGCGAAAGAGTGGGCCAGCAGAGAAGAAAGGACGCGCGTGCGCATTGCGCGGGTCTCGGCACCAGGCGCCGTGCCGTCAGGGAGCGCGGCGATGCAATTCGGTCGGCGCTCCCGTGTTATCCAGACTAGGGGTGTCGCGAACCGGCCGAGGTTCGAGTTCGAACTGGTTCGACTTTTTCGAACTTTTCGTGGAAATTTCGACGACCCTTGTATTGAGGTTCGACTCGTGTGCGCATGCGCGACAGGCGGGCCAGTTGGCTTCGGATTGGATGGTAATGGCTAGTGGATGAATTAAGGGCACCGCTGGTTGGTTATTTCAGTTAATACAGTACAAAAAAAATTAAGTTATTGACGTCTTTAGTGAATAGAAGCGGTTTCTTTTAATTCCAACTGTTCATAAAATAAAATAACCATTTGCATAAAAATAAATTCTCCAAACCTAGACATGCATCTATCAAGGTCTGGCCACACTGTCCGCAAAGTCGAACCGGTCGAATCTGGTGAAAAGTTTCGAAGGTTCGTCGAACCGGTTCGACCCAGTCGAACCCCGAAAGTTCGACCTAAAAATCCGGTTCGACAAAAGTTCGCGACACCCCTAATCCAGACTTTTGCTCACGACAGTACACATATATACCACAATAGCGTAATGCACAATATATAGATTTAAAAGAAACAACAAAAAAGCACAAAATACAGTGGGTAAAAATTAAAAGGATATTATTAGTGAACCAGTACAGAGGTCCTGAACTCTACAGAAGTGTGCATTTTAACCAGCTGGCATTCCGAACGGAGCTCGCCTAACAGATTTTTGGACTTGATGTAGAGTGTGACTGACGCCCTCCTACCTCTGAACAACTGCATCACAAGCAGGCACTTTCTCCCCCAAAGTAAAAAGAAAGGTAATGGAGAAGCGGTGCAACTGCAGGATGCATTATAAGGAGTGTGTAGTTGAGCACACGACAAACGTCTTCTGCAGTGCTACATTTACCCGTGTTTTACCACATCCAAAAACTGCTTCACCGAATGGCGTGCATGCCACGATGGTTGTGACTGTGTGGTAGAATCTAGAGAGTTTTTTTTTTTTTTCACCTAGAGTAGTGCAATTTGCAGCCTTTCTTGCTATTGAAATTTGGCATATTTTATAATCTTTGAAATTTTTTAGCTGTCACTTTTTTCTAAGATAGTATCTGCTTATCTTTCTCATTTTTGTTGTGTTGGCCAAAATAATTTTCGTTTTCAGATCTAAAATTTTGCATAATTTATTAGACTCTTTTTTTCATACTTATATCATTAAAGAGATATTTATTGTGCAACATTTTGGTATACTGCAGCACAATTCTAGAAGCATATATTTTTTTTTTAGAAAACAAAATACTGGGACTTTTTAAAAATGGGTGGTTTCCTGTGGTAAGGAAAGTGTTAAAATTTAATTTTTTAGTGCCCTTTATGCTTGTACCATTCATTTGGTCTGCAGTGTCCAATAATTAAGTTAAAAAAAAAATAATGAAAAGTTTGTGAGCCTTAGATGCAGTGTTGACAACTCGAAAAGAAAACACCTGCAATAGAAATCTAAAAAAAAATTGCTAAAAACTGCCAAATTTCAGGCACAGAGCTAGAATGATGTTTAATGCAATTTACTGCTATAATTCATCTAAAAACAGTTCAATAAATTAAATAACCCTTAGAAGAGAGTATTGTTGCATGACTCAGACTGCTTCCATGCACAGAACAATGTCCATTACACAGGGGCAGATTTAGAGGGGGGGTCCGGATGTCTTGACCCCTCTCTTGGTTTCTCCATGTGTAAAATTTAGGGCTTAAAACGATGGAGAGGGAGAGGGGGTTCCTAAACGTATGGTACGCTGACCAACACCTGACCCTCCCTCAAAAAATTCCTGCATCTGCCCCTGCCATTACATGATGTTATTGTTACCACTCTAATGGCGCTTGGAAGTTCCAGTAACCAGTCTCAAAGTTTAAAACCATGTAGCCCCCTTGTTTTTAAAATTTCTGTGCATAGTTCACTGGGCCCACTTCATCTGGCGAACTTAGAAAACTACATTCACGCTCAAATCAGTTTGAGAACATGTTTCAAGGTTTGCTACTGTAATAACTCAATGGCTTCTGTACCGTTACTCACTCAATGCAGTTTTACTGAGGCTAAGCAAAGGTGACGAAACTACGGCTCTAACTTACAACAAGACTTGAAAATCCGCTAAGAATACCGCTGCCTGTAAAGCTGCCATTTCGCCCGCTGACATCTAAATAAACCGCTAAATTTAGTGGGGAAACTGCTAGATTGGCGGCTTTGCTCAGAAGGAAATTTTTTTTTATTAAAGGAAAGATTACATGTGTTTTACAGCTTGTCATAGCTGTTAATATTGCCGGTGTTCAGTTAATGATGGCTTTTCAATTTCTGATGTCACTATTAAGACATATGGTTCTGCAGACGCAAGGACATTAGAGATGTCCTTATGGACCACTAATTTGGGTGGCGACACTTGTGATTTTTTAGTATGAGTAAATTACGAAGCAGTACCGATATTATATCTGCTAACTGTTTTGCAGTACAAATGCTACCCTCTTTGAGTACAATGGTGTATATACGCTGAAGCACTGCTGAAGTTCGCTAAGTGCACCTTAGTAAGCAACATACCAGTTGTAGTGTCACCACGGCTTCCGGGTGCTTGCATTCTGTTCACCTGTTTTGGTAATTTGTTGCTTCTGATAAGTATGAGTTTTAAACTTAGAGATATCAATTGAACATAAATCTTTTTTTTTCACATTCAGATGATCTGCAGCTTCTCTTGCATTAACACTAAAGTCAGTTTCAAGTTTGTTAGAAATATCTAGCAGTGTCTAGTCTGAAAGAATGTGATGCCTTGGAGAGGACATTCGGCATGTCACGAGCAAGTAATGACAGGCAGGGCAACAGGGGAATTGGTGGTAACACTTTGGCTTATTGCTGCTTTGATAGAAGCACAAAAAGGGGGCAATGCCAAGGAGTGAAGCGGAAAGAAAAGGTCATACTTTGAGGCCACTGCTGTCGAACTGTAGTCTGCTTCCGCAAAGAAGTTTGAGTCGTTGGAAGTCGACAGAATTTCTCCATCGTTTTGGTACTGCTCAGGGACTGGTCGAGGCAAATCTGCCAGATGGTTGCGTCCTCGTTTAACAAATGCAATCAGCAGAAACATTGTCACAGGCAAGGGACCAGTTGCGGCTAGAGCACATAGTCACGCGACTGGTTTTTGGTACCTGGTGTTGTTTTTGGTGGAGTTTTCTGGTAAAAAATCACTGGGCAAGATATTCCCTACAAAGCATTCCCATAGGGGTTTTGTACTGTGATGGGGGGGGGGGGGGTTTCTTGGGGTAAATTTATTTCATTGACATGCTTTTGGCTTGTTATGACACTCGTTCAATTCAACTCAAGTTGTGGAACGTGACTTGGAGATTATACCCCTTTGAATAGATACCCTGGCGTTCACGCTGGCAGGTGCTTGTAGTTTCTTACATAACATCATTCTTTTTTTGTTTCATTGTTTCATAATAATTTTTGTTGCTGCAATATGTTGTTTGAATTCAAAGTACTTACGCATGCATGCAAAAATGTTTCAGAAACCGAGACTTATCATGATCATACAAACTACACTGACTTGACATAGCAGAAATAACAATTAAATGAGACGTTTCGTCTCCCCTATGGGAGACATCATCAGTGAAGCCAAGAGGCTGTAGTGAGAGAGACGCCAACCAGAAATCTTATCTAAGGAGGTCCGCATAACCTTCGGGAAGGGGGCCGCGGTTATAGTTACAAGCCCATGAATCACTCCGGATGCACCATGATTCCAAGTACTTTTGTGGACCCCACCTTTGTTCGCGCGCCAAGGTCAACGCATTCTCGAAGTGAAAACTGTGACCCGTTCTCCAACAACGGTCGACCAGCTCCGTCTTTGTCCTAGTGGGATGTGTGGCTTTCGCCATGTCCCGCTTGTGTTCTTTCATACGGGTGGGTTTTGTCTTTTGGCCTGGAAACAAGGTCACATAGTTTAAGATGAGGTTTGAAAGCTGTTCAGATGTTTATAGGGGTGAGGGCCCTGTGATTAATATTTGTAATTGTTACTTGCTCTGCTCTGTTACGATTTTTATTCTGACTTCTCTCTTGTTCTGTCTGCTTATGCGTGTTTTCAATAAACTGTCTGAAATAATCCCGCTTCACCAGCGAGACGACAATAGCTGTATCTTCAGATGCTCGTAGTTCTGGATAAGAAGAAATGCGTTTTGACTGATGTAGTAGGGTTTTTACGACTGCTCTTTTGTGCTTAACCGAATTATGTAAGTTGAAGTTTAAGAGGCTACCTGGTGTCACAAGCTTTACGTTACACAGTTTCTATGTGACTGGTGCTGTTTCGGCAAACATTACAAACCGATGTGGGACCTTTGGTTACATCCGACTTCTCTTTCTCGTCGTTCCAGCCGGCAACGAGTCTTGCCCTCAGCCCCAGACCTCGGAGCATTTGGCTGCCATTGAGATCATGAAGCTCAAACACATCTTGATTCTCCAGAACAAGATTGACCTGGTGAAGGAATCCCAGGCCAAGGAACAATACCAGCAGATCCTCAAGTTTGTGCAAGGTGGGAATCTTTAATTTTTGGCAGAGGTCTCTGCGAGGGCACTGTAACTTGGAGCATTTGAGGCTGTTTCGGGCTTCCTACAATGGTATCCCGATAATTCAAACTCTGATATTGCATACTTCCGGTTAATTCAAACAAATTTTAAAACATTGGTTGTCCCACTGTTTTCAATGCATTTTGAGTTACCTAATTCAAACAGCATCTTCGCTTAATTCATACTATTCCTTCATCGCGGCGGGTTAGCCCTGTGGAGTGCGCTTCTTACCGAGCACCTCAGTACTGCGGGAAAGCACTACCCACGAAGCTCGCGGTCATTGCTTTTCTGCAGTACGCGGGTGCTTGGTACGAAGCCCACTCGATTGGACTAACCCACCTCGATAATGCAAGCAGAACTGTCCTGGCAATCTGCTTTCATTACTCATGCTTGTTTTTATTTTCCTCAGAAGGTTAAACTCAAGATTAAAGAAAGAATATTTGCATATAGCAAGCAGATTTATAAATTCTCTCGATTAGGACAGCTGGGCATCTCTTTAGGTTTAATTTTATGTCAAATCTGTCATTTACATGCCACCTTAATGTAGGCATTGGAGTTTCTAAGGCCATGGTTCATAGATATAGTGATGTTAAAACCAACTGAGCTTAGAAGTGGACAAGTGGAAGGTTGGGAACAACCTTCACGAGTTTAGAATTTTCGTTTAAGCATGGTAGAACGGTAGTAAAAGGATAGGAGAAACTATTCAATATTGAATTATAAAATATTCAGCCAAGACCACTATTTGCTTTGAATTTCACCAATGTTTTGTGTGTGTGTCTGGTTATAAATAGGTCTGTGTAGAGGAAAGTGAAAAATCTGCTTGGTATGTGTAGCTATTCCTATAGCAAATTGCTACTTTGCCTTACATCATATTTAAATGATTTTCTGAAAATTCAAACTTTTGATATTTCAAACTAAAGTTTGTGTCTTCCTGGTGTTTGAGTTTAATGAGAATCAAGTTAGGTTCACAAGGCTGTATTTCACTCAGCCAGTTTTGACTTGGACAGGCAACCAATGGGCTTAAAGGTGTTACTTCAGGAGTTAGTTCATTCCTACTCTGAAATTCTCATAGGATGTTAGCACACACAAAGTTCCATGGTTTTAGAACTCTCGTGTGTACAGAAATTTATTTTTAATCTTCACAATTTGCATCTGGCCAGGAGGCAACCATGACAATACTGACATTTTCAGTCAGGGGGCCACCCTGCATCGCATGCTTGCTGCCCTGCCTTTCTTGTTCTCCTTTATCGGATTGAACTTTGCTTGCAGGGGCGTGCTGGGAAGGGCGGGGGGTCAGAACACCCCCAAAAATTTTGTCTTCTTTCTTGTGCACACTAATAAAAAAGGTGAAAGCGTATACTACACTCTGTGTTTTAGTAAGATGCCTGGTTCATGCAGCAACAAGTTGAGGATGAAAGTGAGGGTGACTCAGTTTGTAGCCTTCGTCATTTGCAATGTCACCCCTTTCCCCACATCTTCCAAGGAACCGTTCCAAGGTTCAAGTCACTTATTTTTCTAGGGAGTGGACAACGGAGCATATACTTCTCATTCGTTGTCTCACTTATGTAGTAAAGTGGGCAGTTTGATACTTTATACCCATGTTACGGATAAAAAAAACAGGAAGCTGGATGGCCAAAAAAACATGCTTTTCTTTTAAGGCTCGTCAAATTATGAGGCGCTGGAGAAATGCAGCCTTCTGCGTTAAGGGGGGACACTACCCAAAAATGTAAACTTTTGAACCACTTATCTGTAATAAATTATATTTACAGGGCTTGTTTCTGTTGATGTTGAGAACATTTCTGCCAAATTTTGTTAACCTGGGTGAAGTACAAAAAAAAGTGAAAGCCGTTTACAAATCCCTGTAACGCCGAATTGGAGCGCAGCTCTTGAGGAGGAGGAGTGAAGGGTACTGAGGGGAGGGTAGACCCCTCCCCCTTCTCCTCCTCCTCCCCTCATTCTTTAATATGCTCCGGGGGGGGGGGGGGGGGGGGTCACGTGACCTCGGGGAGGCGTGACCTGGGGGTGACCTCAAGGCCACGTGAGCCCAAAGGTGACCCCCACGTGACCTTGGGGTCACGTGACCTGGAGGGGTCACGTGACCTCGGGGGGTCACGTGACCTCAGAGGGGTCACGTGACCTGGGGGTCACATGACCTGGGGGTCACGTGGGGTCACGTGACCTTGAGATGACCTTGGAAGGGGTCACGTGACCTTGGGGAGGCGACCACGTGACCTCGGGGGTCACGTGACCTCAGAGGGGTCACGTGACTTGGGGGTCACATGACCTTCAAAGGGTCACGTGGGGTCATCTTGGGGTCACGTGACCTTGAGATGACCTTGGAAGGGGTCACGTGACCTTCAGGGGGTCACGTGACCTTGAGATGACCTTGGGAGGGGTCACGTGACCTTGGGGGTCACGTGACCTTGGGATGACCTTGGTTACGCCGACGCCGACGGCGACGCCGCTCAAGCCGGGAACGGGCCCCTAAGAGCTGCGCTCTAAAAACTGCAAACGTTCAAAGATGAAAGTGGGCGTGCCTGCATAGGAAAACTATCGTTTTGAAATTACTTATAAATTTGTCGTTTTCATGTGTTATATTGCATTAGGACAGTTCAGAGCAGATAACTATGGAGCTATATTTCTATGTTATACCATCTTTCATGACAAAAAAGCCTTATAAACACAAATACAGTTTTTTAGATTTCCATCCTTTGTCCAAAATTTTTGCTTTTGAGCATAAAAAATGACAAAAATAAAAAATACAAGCTCATAGTTATCTTCCCCTTAAAATTTCACCCCAGAAAAACTTGTAAAAATGAATCCAAGTTATGTAATAGCAAAACGATAGTTTTCCTAAAGTGAAATTTACGCCAGAAAGTGGAATGGAGAAAAATGCGTTCAAATTGCTCCAACCTCTACCTTTTCTTTAGCATCGCTGAACAGAAAATAATTTATAAAAAATTAACTATACAGTACAATCCAATGAAACTTTCTGGGAATACCCTCTAGATGTTGGTGAATGTAAATATGACATTTTTCAAAATGAATGTTTTTCAGCAGAAATTGTTTTTTTTTGGGTAGTGTCCCCCCTTAAGTGCTTATTTTAAACTCTTTTTGTTCGCCTTCCGCCCATTGAAAAGCATGCGGGAAGGGCCTTAGAACGCACCTGGTATCGCTGCCCCGCAGCGATACCAGGTGCAGTACATGGGTCTAAAGTTTCAAACTGCCGTAAAGTGTTTTTAAAAGCAGTCAAACATGCAGTCTTGTATGGTTGCTGTTTTTAAATGCGAGAGCATTAACTGCCCATGGAGCGATCCGACGTCATCAGCTTTGAAGCCGCGCCAAACGGTAGCTTCCCTACCCCAATGTCGTCTGTAGCAGAAATCTGATGGTCCGCGCGTCGTCGAGGAACGAGGCTCCCATTGGCTCTCGTGCGGCGTAGTTCCAAAAAACGCCACCAGAGAAGCCCTCTCCATGGCGGCGCAGCGCACGCAGTGGTCCGGCCGCCGGTAAGAGGGAGTGGTGGCCGCCGAGCTGGCAGAGCCCCCTCGGGCGAACTCTTGAGAGGCTGCACGGTCACTTCACGAGAGTGCGCGCTCGGTCGTCAACCGGCGAAACGTGGCCGTCCATTCTACTACAGTGTAGACCGCATATAACGTATGTCGGGGGAGTCGCGAAAATCCGCACTATAAGCGGTACCGCGCTATAACCAAAACATCAGTTTTTCAGGCCAAAATGCATGCCATCAGACAACTTACCTTTGTAAAAGAATTTATTTTATGTTAGATGAAAAATAAAGCTTAGTTTGAGTAAAGTCTTTATTTTACCAGACTAGTACACTTCTCTCTCAAGTGTGTCACACATTTTGAAAGAAATGAGCGACTTTTGCCTGGCGCAGCCTTTTAACGGCGTCGCGGGTTGCGGACGGACGTCGCGAGCGTTCAGGATTGCCAACCTTAATCACTTTTCTCTGGCGATGAAAACGCGTGAAAGTTCGCATCCTTTATACGGTACACGCCAGTAATACCTTCAACTTGAGCACACGCATGAAATGCTCCAAATAAGAAATCCGGGCGATGTTCGAAAACACAAATGCTTACAAAGCACCACTGTAGTCGAAGTAAACAAACACGACGACACGGGCGTTTCTGCCGTCTTGAGAGTGCCGCCACAACATCGCCGCCGAGTAGGTGGATCTTCTCTTCTAGTACGTGCTGGGTTATCATAGCGACACACAACGAAAATTCACAGTCAAGGATAGCGCTTTTACGCGGAACGATGAACTTCCACCATGCCGCCTACGTCGACGATCAAAACCGACGCCATGTTTGCGGATAGAAGCAGCCTGCCGGCCGGCCCGCGACCGGCATGCAACGCGCGCGAACACTTCTCCTCGACCTGCGATTGGTCTGTCGTTGCGGTTGTTTCAAATGCAGCGGAGAAACGCACGCACGTGAACGATACGTGCGTGTGTCCCTCCGTCGCTATGGCAACTGAGGCCTCTCTGTTCGCTTTTCCCTGCTTCTTCGAGCAACCTCCTTGCCCCGCGAGTGCTGCTTGCGGCTCGCGCCGTTATCTAGTGTCGCACAGGTAAGCGTGCCTTCTGCGTCGGTCAGTCGGCGCGGTCGCCGGGCTGTTCCGAAAACCGCACTATAACCGGTATTTCCCTTCGCGCTCCTGCACTTTAAGCGATATGTAATTACATGGAGTTCTATGGGAGTTGAACCGGTGGTTTAAAAAAGCCGCGTTATACCCGGTCCTGCACTATAAGCGGTTACGTTGTAAGTGGTCTATACTGTACGCCGCAGACGAACTAAGGGGGCGGAAGAACGACATTCATGCTTTCGCATTCACAATTCATAAGAAGTGCTTAGGTTTCCTCTGACTTTTTAACTTAGGTAGTTTAATAGAAACAGAAAGATATTTACTTTCTCCTCTTCCTCTTCTTACCTCTCCAACTAACCCTACGAGAGAAGTAAAACAGCTCCCTATAGAAATTTTTACGCCACTGGTTGCTTGACCTGATACCTTCCGCGCATCATTTCTCAGTAATAAAGGAAATTCAGGTCTGAAAGCAGTAGACACACAGGGTGGTGCTACCACAAATGATTTGAAAGATGGCTGCCTCGCTGGGTCAATAAAGAAGTCATACGTCAGAGTCTAGCAGCTTAGTGATCTCAGATATAATTTTTCGCACGATTCCCTTTGGCCTGCTCGTTTGGTAGTTGGAAGGAGCCGAGCGTATTCTTTCCGCAGGAACCGTGGCCGAGGGGGCTCCTGTGGTGCCCATTTCGGCCCAGCTGAAGTACAACATCGAAGTCATCTGCGAATACATCGTCAAGAAAATTCCAATGCCTCTACGGGACTTCGCCTCCGAGCCTCGGCTTATCGGTGAGCTCGGGCACCTGCTGGCTCGCTTCTTCCTAGGACAGTGGTTCTTGATCTTTTCAATCTCAAAGATCCCTCGTCTGCCTCGAATGACAGCAAAAGAACCCCTTTGGGTCTCGGTGTTTGTGCAATAAAGCAGTAGAGAAGACTACGGACCTTGTAAACAATAATGCATATGTACTATGGAGCAGTGGTTCTCAAGCATGGATGGGTTGGGGACCCCTTGGGGACCTGCCAGAGTGATGGGGGACCCCATGCTGGTAGCAGAAGGGGAGGGGGGCATGTAGAATAAGACAATTAATTTCAATGTGAAAAGGGCATCCTTTAATGTTATAGACAGGAAAAGTGAGAAGCATTGAGTAAAAAGATGAACGGATGGATAGGTGGCCGTACCCTTCAGAACGGGCAGTGGCTTGCACTACCTAACTAAAAAAAGAAAAGAAATTTCAAGAAAAGAGGGGGAGGGATGGAGAGTTGAGGTCAAGGCTTCGCAAACCCGCGGACCCCGTTTGAAAACCACTCCTATAGAGCATTTGGCTTATAGTTAGGCGTCAAGGAGTGGCTTAGCTCCGGAAAAATAGTGCTTAATCTAGAAGAACACTTTACTTGGGGCGCAAGTATGGTCAAGGAAACTTGAGAGCTCGGAGCAACTTACAAGGGTGCTCTGGGGAATGAGTGCCTAGGATCCCATTTTGAAATTTCATGTCCTGTTAGATCTTTAAATCTTACTTCGAGGTATTGTTAGGATCACCAACCATTGAGATCATAAGATTACACCAGCTCATTCTTGTTTCATACTTCCCATTTTTTTTAGAAAAACATATTGGTTGGTGTACACACATTGATTTTTTAGAGATGGTTCACCTGTTTTACTGTGTGATTGCTGTTTCGTTTCTGATAATTTACAAAGTGATCAGCATGTAGAAATGCTCGCTCCGTATGAAGGAAGCTGTGTGGCAACAATATATGTAGTAATGTTAATGCTTGTTAGATGCAGCACAGCTAGAGTTTTTACGGGGGGTTCTGACGACTGATGCCGCGTCTCTCTTTTTGGGCTCGTTCAGTCATCCGATCCTTTGACGTGAATAAGCCTGGCTGTGAAGTGGACGACCTCAAAGGTGGCGTTGCCGGTGGCTCCATTCTGAGAGGAGTGCTCAAGGTATGTCGAACGTCGTAATCCTTCATTAGAATTATAAAGTTATTTGTTCCTTCAGTCGTTCTGTTTTTGTAGACCAATCGTTAATGTTCTTTTTTGAGTTTAGTAATTTTACCCTTGTGCCACTTTCTGTATGATGGATATACTATCTGCTTCCTATTTTTTTTATAAACAAAGATTATGTATAGGGTCCTTTGTTTTTGGGGTAAAACCCAATAATTTCCCGGTATTTACTCTCCGGACATGCTTTTTGACAATCGGGTTAAACCCAATTAAACTTCTGTGTAGAGATATTTCCTATGAAACAAAAAGTTGGCAGGAAAACATGCACTAAAGAGGCTAAATCATTTTGACTTCATTGAACTGTCATGACAGATGTAGACCCAAAATGTAGCTTTATATCAATTGCAAATTATCCTTTGCCCTCCTTTCTTTATTTTGACTACAAAAAGAAGAAAAAGAGCAATTTTGATTTGACAGAAGTATGTGACATGTTTCTGCATTGTAACAGCTGTGATGTTGAGACAGGTCTAAGATGGAGACATATGCCAAGCATACAGATGGTAATGCAAGGAGCAAGGTTTTATAAAAAACTGAAAAGACCATATGAGCTCTCATATCATGTTAGCATGCTGTCTTATGTACTTTAATGACTTGGTTGCTGAAAAAAATCATGAGGCATTCCACTCTGTGAAGCTGGATAACCAGCGAAGCTGTTTAGCACACGACACAGAACCGCCCCGAGGAGCAGGAGGAAACGAGACACGCGCGACGGGGACCGCCACCCCGGGAGAGCGGAAGGAAAGGAAACTAGGCACGCAAGCGGGGGGCTTGGAACGATGACAATAGGGAGTTTTCATTGACCGCGCTTCCCCCTCCGCTAAGCCCCCTACGATGGAGTCGCTACTGCGCCTGCGCGCCGATAGCCTCGACTGTAGAGTTCCAGGTATCGTAGCGGGTTGCGGAGGGCGTCGCAAGACGGCGAAAACGATCTACGAAAACTCCCCAAAGAGTGGGCGGTGCGAGTGTAAACATGGCCGACGCGGGTCGCACAGCGGCAAATCTTTGGGAAACCTTTATTATCTACCTCAGTCTACTGATCTTAAAAATGGTCCCTATTGATAGCTAATGTACTGAATATACCTATTGCTCAATTACTCGAGCATCAAGGAGAATGCAGGGAATGATGTTCCACTTGCCGGCATCTGCAGCAGTAAGCGTTTTAAGGCAAAAGCCCACAACAAATGGCATCTTGCACACGTGTTCATCAACACTTTATTTTGGTTATTTACTTTAAATCTTTTATACGGGGAAGGCACGCGCGTGGGGCGGTGCAAGCATAGAGTTTTTGGTCACGCACACGAAAAATCCGTGGAACCCTAGCCGTAAACAGCTTCGCTGTAATAAATATTAATCTTACTTAAACTTATCAAAACTCTTTGCTGCTAATTATACATGTTTGTTTCTAAATATGAACTGAAAAACCCAAATTGCAAGGCAATGTATTAAGAAGCCCGATTTTTCACCGATTCTCAACTCAGAACAAAAGGCCCGATTTTTACCCTCCGATCTTTGAAAAGTAAAAAACCCCGAAAACGAAGGACCCTAGTTATTGGATGGCAATGCAGCAAGCAGTCAAAGGGAGGAACGTTTGGAGGCACTTCCTCTGTAATATGATTAGTTGAACGTTCATGTGTCTATTGGGGACAGTGCTTGCACTTCTCCTATCTAGCACCAGTTACATCAAGCCATAAGAATAAATCCCTGAAGTGGCTCCTGGGTGTCCCTTGGCAGTCCTCGAGCTGTGGAGGGAAATTTCAACAGCTCCAGTTTGATTGTTAAGGGGACATGAGCCAGAAAAAACATTTACAATAACTGAAAAAAAAAAAAAAAAAATTGGCTTGCTCTTTATGTTTATACAGCCTTGATGGAGATGCGCCTCAACGGGTAATCGGTCTCTTAGCTGTAGATGAGAAATTTGGCCAGTGCGGTACAACCGCTAACCTGGGGTTTTTAACGTGCATCACGCAGTAGTGATCACACGAATGCGTGCCGGTACGAAACTCATCCAGATCGAAACGGGCGGGGGCTGCGGGGATCGAACCCAGGAGGTTCCCAGCGCAAGCTTTCACTCCACGCTCCGAGCTGAGACGCGTTAGCCCACTCGGCCACTTCCTCCCCTACAATAACTGAATGATGTTTTCACAGTTTATAGTGTGTGATTTTTTTTTTTTTTATAAATCTGGCTTAGTTTAGATATTAGTTCGTTTGTTTTGAATGCAATGCACATGCAGAAAAAAAAAACATTGTTATTGTGCACCAACACCCTTAAAAGAGCCTAATAAAGTAAGCTTATTCACTCTTTTTAAACCACTGAATGCAATTTACAATAAACATAATGTTGGCGAGACCAATTTTAGTTTAAAACAAACAAAAATAGCAAAAATACCAGTTTTGAAGGGCTAACAAAAGTTCCCTAAACTGTTCATAAATAAAAAAAAAAAAAAAAATATACATTTTAACGAAACCTTGATAGTTGCATTCAACATATCCTAAAGCATATCAATGCCGAATTTGGCTATGGTAGGACAATGATAAGAACAAAATAATTGTGTGCAATTTCTGAAGATGCTTCAAAATTACATAAAGAGAAAAACATGTTAGAATATTACCATAGATGTGAAGCAACTCTTTTGCAGTGGAAAAAATTAATTTTTGGTAAAACGTTTTGTGAGAAATTGAAACTATAGAAGACTGCAGTGTAGAGATGACTTGGCCTACATCTCAACATAAATGTAATGGGGGGGGGCAACATGACAATTTGAAAAACCGTGCAAATAAAAATGCCTAATATTTATGGCATTCTGGGTTGCCTTCCCCGGGAGTGGAGATCTTAAAATATGTATTTTACTAATTTTGTGATCATAATCGGTCCTTATTATTTTTACATAAAATATGAAGACTCAGAGATAACAAGACACCATAAAACTCACAATTTAAAAAAAAAGTTGTTTTTCACTTGCATTTTTCCTTAAAATGCACTTAAATGAGCTGTGGAACAATTTCAATGCTTTTGCTTAAATAATTTGGAAGTTAATGTTTTGACCTTGCTGAAGTAAAGAAACAAAAAAGCACTTTTGCCTGCATGTCCTAGTTTTAATTTAAAAATAGACAAAGATTGATGTTTTCGGCACCTTTCAACTTTTTCACCATCTTCCGAGTCACGTGTGCTGTGACGTCAATGGGAATCACGCGGGGTTTCAGTGAAGCTCTCTCTAGAGCCATTTGTGAGCAGCGGCAACCCATCTGCTCACGACTGCGTGACCATGTGCTGGCACAGTGCAAACTATATGGTGAAAGGAGGAAAGTCTCGTGTCCGGCCATCCCCTTCTGGCTCTGCCCTCGTCTCCCTCCGGCTTCTGGCAACTGTTCGCGGTAGCAGATAGAGCTGCCGGTTTTGTGGACCTCGGATAGATGGCACCACTAAAATGCCATAAAACAAAAGTTTTGTCGATGATACCAGGTTGACAAGATTTTTAGAAAAGTTACCTTTTATCGAGCAAGTATTCGCACAACTTGCTTTTTTCTACAAGACCCCCATTGACGTCATGCTGCATGGTTCTCATGGCCGCCGCTCGCAGCTGCAGGTTGGGGAACATTTTAATTTTTGCCTCGTGATTATGCGGCAAAATTGCTATATTTTGAAGGAAGGAGGGGTGTTTTCTGTCCTTTGTGACAAGATAAACAATGTCAAAAGTAGAAGGTGCCAATTCTTTCAATGTTAAAATCATTGCACAGCTCTTTTAAGGGGGGATATGGGTCCTTGGAGCCAAAAACTTTCTAAAACTGCATTCTTTTGAAAATGGCGATGTTGACCTCTACAGCTGTTGTTCTTCTGAATCTACCAGGCATCTAATTTCGTGGATGACTATTTCAGCTACAAATCAATTTATGATGTTTGTGTTTATAATTTGTAGGAAGGATATCTCAGCATCTAGAGCAGATAGAAATATAACCTTTCCTGAAATGTGTAGCTAAATATGTGAAGCATACAATGTTGAGAGCAGATTTCTTAATATAAGTCTAGAAAGATTTCTATTTGAACTTTTGTTTTATTACTTCTTAGCCATGCTTTGAGCACTGAACTTCAATGTGTGGTGAACGCACTAATATGGGTTTATAAAAGTACTACTTCCAACATTGTATCTAGCCATGTTTTAGAAAGGATATTTGTTGAGCAGTTTTTTCCCTATTGTTTGTCCAAACAAAGGCAGGCAAGTGTTAATTATCTTGAGGACAATTCTACTGACTAAGAAAATGACCAGATAAATTAAATCGGCACAAAAAGGTTAACAAGCCCGCTGTGCAGTTTCATTGGGTTTGGCCATAAAATAAGAAAAAAAAGCTCCAAGTCAAGTGTTCCCCCTTAAAGGCGGACTACCAAACGCGATATTCTGCAAGGCTTTCCTCCTCTCACGTCTTCGAGCAAGGGAAGCGAAGGATGGAAAGATGGGACTAAAAAAGTCGGGCATGAGTCCGCACATGCTGTTTAGATGGGGGGGGGGGGGGGGGGGAGGGGGGTTTGCTGTGCCAGCAAGTGAATGGAGATAGGCCAGCAGGGACCAGGAAATGAGAACCAAGTTTGTTTCTCGCACTGCGCGGTACGTCTTCAATCGGTAGGCGCTTCTTTGATCAGCGCAATTTTTAATCACTGTAAACTGACGCTTTTTGTTTTTTTCTATCGGGGCTGCCCCCCTGTAAGCAGCCCCGATCGGAATGCATTGATAGGAAAGTTTGTGGGCCACAAGGAAGGAAGAGTGAAGAAGCTTCTTTGTAGGAACATCAGGGCAAAAAATAAACTGCAGATAAGCCACAATCTCTACAAAGGATATGGTGGGGGAACTCAATCATTCACAGACCACTGCATCTGGGAAGCAGGATGTGGCTCCTCTTTCTCAGGAGGAAGTGGCTGGAACACACAGTCATGTCTTTTAATACTCACATCTTTCAAACCAGCGTCTGTATGGGGCTGCACACAGATGCTGGTTTGTGCGCAGACAATATTTTCAGAAATCGTGGACATCTCAATAAAATGAAGTGAAGCACTAAACACAAAGCACGGCTTTCAATCGCGTTTAGCATTGTCGCTCCTCCCCCCTGGTAAAAATAAAGTAACACTTCAAGGGGAAGATATAAAGCAATACCAGTGCACAGCACACTGACTAAAAATCTGCACTGACGCCAACGGCATTGTAACTCAGGGACTCGAGGCTGCTTGTTAATCATGCTGAGATTGCGCTTTTGTATCGTGATCCCTTTTTTCTTTTTTCCTTGTTGGAGTCTCTGGCTACGTTTACAAACGTTCTTCTGAGGCAGCGGCAGCTTGGTACCACTTGGTATCTGGAAACACTCCGCTGATCCCCCCGCACGTGCACTCCTTCGTCGACCGTTTTATTGGGAAAGTTTGCCCTAAAAAAAGGCGTGTCCGCAATCTTTGAAAAATTTTTTTAACAGAGAAATAAGCCACGCACGACTGTAATTCTTAGATTTTTGAGATGCTGTGAGTGCATAGATCATATTACTACCATAAAATGATGATTTCGGAAACCATTTCAGTGCACTCTTAACCTTTTTATAGTCCATTGCATCCTCAAGGTCTGCGATAAAGCTCCCCTTCCAGTGTGAGATCCCTACCTCAAATAACACTGAGGAGTCTCATGATTACGCACGGCCGACGGAAGGCAGTTGACACATGCTGGATGCGAAACTTCTCTTGCAGGTCTTATGGTGCAACAAACTGTAGACAATTTTCTGCACCAAGTCAGTTCGGACACTTCATCGGTCATGCGAGTTATCATTCTTGGCATTCTGGGCAGCCTTTTTGTCTGCCAAGTTGTTCAGGAAAGCGTGCTAAAGTAAACCGGAAAAAACAGGAACCTGGAACTACTAGATGTTGGCTACGAGATACTCTTTCTTTGGATACCTATTTGATATGGGGGAGGGCAGTTCCACCGCCCCAAATTTTGGCTTTGTCGCTGTGTCCATACCATTATACTGCCTGTGGGCAGCTTTGTGTGTTGGGTGTTGAAAATCCCCCCTTAGTTTGTTTGTCTCTTCCACCCCAGGTGGGGCAGGAGATTGAGGTGCGGCCAGGCATTGTGTCCAAGGACGACGAGGGCAAGCTACTCTGCAAGCCCATCTTCTCCCGCATCCTCTCCCTGTGCACCGAGCAGAACGACCTCATGTACGCCGTGCCTGGAGGACTCATCGGTGAAGGACCGCTTTCACCCATTCCGTTACCCCTTTTAGGGGCAAAGCTCCTTAGGGTCTAGCCTTGTCCGTCCGGCGTCCGTGCTCACATCGATAGCCATCCCATCTGTCTTCTTAAAAAAAGAAAAAATGTTTGTGCAGTCGACAGGATTCTAACCTGTGCGGGGAGACCCCAATGGATTTCTAGTCCATCGCCTTAACCACTCGGCCACGAATGCGGGACGAGTAGGGGGCTCTGAGATGTGGTAGTAACTCAAGAGCTGGGGATGTCATGGATGAAAAGTTGCATGTAGCCGCTCAACGTCTATACAGGAGAGGGCGCTGCGGTCAAATGCATATATAATCGCGTTAAACTTTGCATGCATTGGCTCAATGTTCATAGACGAGAGGGTGCTGTGGTCAAATGCTCAAATGCGTATATAAGCACGTTCCACTCATTCTCTTTCTGACATGGACCGTTGACTTAAGTGGTGGAGATGCGTTCACACGGCTTCTAGCGGATCCAAGCTGATCCGCTAGAAGAATCACTGGCTCTGCATTTCACCGACCATAAAGCAGTAATAATGAAGTCGAACACAACCCGGAACTCAGCACTACCTATGAGTAATAAAAAAAAATCAGCACCATCAGCACTACTTATGAACAAAATCAGTATCATCAGCACCATCAGCACTACCTATGAACAAAATCAGTATCATCAGCACCACGAGAGCTTTGCCCCAATCAACATCATTCACCACATGGAGATGCAGTCTTTTTTTTTGTTCCAACATGAACGCGGGAAAACCACCAAGTTGTCAGGACCACCCACGGACCACATTCAGTGCGTCTTGTTTCACTTTCAAGTGACTGTCTGATCGTTCAGACCATCATATGCTCTTTCAAACTCATTTGAACTGTTGTCTGCTCATTCAAACGACAGTGATCAGTAGACGAAACATTGTGATAGGAAGTGAAGGCTTCAAAAGTTTTTGAACTTGAAGGTTCTTTAAAGTAAAAGGCTTGGTGTAAACAGTGCCGGATTAAGGCATTTGGGGGCCCTGGGCTTAGGCTGTTATGAGGCCTCTACCTATGATAATGGTGGGGGTGATGATGGTGGTGGTGGAGGTAACAATGACGACGGGAATATGTATATCTTTTAACTTGTTAAATCTAGATATGTTTCATTGTATGATTATTGTTGAGCCTTGTCCCATTGATCCGTAGATTCAATGGGAATTCAAGTTTTCCTTGCTGTCATTGAGCGGATGCAATTGTTTAGAAGCTACTTCGCAAATAATCAACCCCTCTAACAATTTACAATATAGTAATTTTGAGATACAAAACTGAAATCAAATAAACATTGCGGAAAATATTAGGATTTGTCGTTCACATCCAGCAACTTAACCACGAAAACAACAACACACACTAAATTGCTTCCGTTTAAAATGTTGACTCTGTTCATGAATTTGTTTAACTAGAATTACAGCTAGATTCATAGAGTACATGCCCGGGCTAGTTTACACAAATTGGTCGCGATGTCGACTTGTAGCGCAGGTGACCCTCTTGCTAACATCTCGAGTGACATCATTAATCACACATGAACTGAGTTATGCAGCAACCGAAAAGGTAACTGAAAAATTCCCATTCTAATTTCACTTCCCCTAAACTAAATGGCATGCCTCGCAAATCGACAACTGCCACGAAAATCTAGAGCCCTTATTCTTGTAATTGTTCCAAATTATTGGAAGTGTTTTAACTTCTAGCTAGCCCTCTGTTAATAAATCTCTGATGTGAACAGTGAAGGAAGTGACATAGGCAAGAAAGAAATTTCGTTGTTTGAAGCAGTCTTTTTGGGATCAAACTACTTCGTAAACGCTCTTCTAATAACTGAACCCTCGTTTCGCAAACAAACACAGACTTCCACATTTAAAGCATAGGAGAAACTGCGTGCGATTCTAAGACATCGACCGCCGTCGTTCGGGCACACCTGCATTTAAAGAATTTATCATGAGAATCGAAATGTTTTTTTGTTTTTTTTTGTATCTACATGCTGTCTTTTTAAATGGGGAAAATGTTTCGCATCAGATTTAGCACTAATCTTGTTCTTTTTAAATGCAGTAATTTAGAGCTCGACCATTTTGCTCTGTGACTCAACGTTAAAAAATAAAAGGTTATAGCCCAGAGGTTGGTGCAGTATTCTTATCAGTCGCTGGAAGGAAGAGTGTTCAGTTGCACTGGCAGACCAGATATCGACTCTAGAGCACTTCCTTGCAGTTAGTACCCATCAAAAACTGTTGAGGGGCGTCTTAAGAACCGGCTCCTTGGAACACCTTTTTGTTGGTGGCTATAGAGACAGTGTCCAAAAGATTTACGGGCGCCTTTTTGCTTGTTTCAAACTTATCGTTCTGAAATGAACTCCATATAGAGTTTCGCGAAAAGGTTTAAAACAACATGTGTGAACCATCTGCGTTGCTTGCTTAACGCTTGCTTAACTTCCTGCCCACAATTGTCCATAGAACACGCTAAGGGGGCTCCAGTACAAAAGAAAGCTTCATGACCGTTCTTCCATCAAGCTCCATTTAAAAAAAAAAAATCTAACGAGGGGCATGGGAGGTCGTGTTAAATTTTGTTGTTCTGGCATGCTGTTGCACACCGATCTCACAAACGCCAGCTGATCTAGAGACGGGAACTTTATGGCATCCTTGTTTCCTTCTTGTGGAAGAGAGAACAAGAAGGCCATTGCGCCAAAGGCCCTTCGGAGTGTTTCTTCTGCTTTCTGCCTAAACTTTCTTAAATAATAACAAAAAAGACTAACATTTTTAAATTTCCAGGGGCCAGCATGGGGCCCCCTGACAGCCTGGGGCCCAGGGCTGCAGCACCCTTAGCCCGTACCTTAATCCGGCCCTGGGTGTAAACAGTAGATACATGGAGGTGTTGATCATTGTTACCAGTGGCCATCATCAACTTTTTATGTGTGATTCACTTGGTCCAATTCTACTCACGATTTTCAGTATCGACGTCGAGCATCGAACCTACCGCCCACACTTTTGCAGCCCGAGTGACGTCACGACTGAAAATAGCGAACAGAATTTTATTATGTGGATCAGGCTTTAGCGTCCATTCTGCGGCTTTTAGGCAGTACGAATCTCTGCACTTCACATTATTTACACAGTTCTGCGGTGTAATGAGCCTCATTAATTTCGCTCAGGCCACTGAAGTAGTAAGACATTCCTAAGAAGGCGCAGAATCAACAATTCCAACTCGAGAAAGAGCACGAGGACTCACATCGACGCTGACAACATCACATTCCAATGCTCCGTTGATGCGGGACGCGGCGCTTCTTGCCCACACCCCATCACGCACGCGTGGTGCCGGTAGCTTGACGCTAGGGACGGTCCGGTTTGTAAACATGAGTTGGTGTATGACAGATTCTGCATTAAGACAAATTAGCCTAAAGGTGCCCAAGCCCTGGAATTTAAATTGCAAGCTTCTTCAGCTAATATTGCTCCCTCCATGCCTGTTGGGTGCCAACCCAGGTGTGGGGACCAAGATTGACCCGACGCTGTCCCGAGCCGACCGGATGGTGGGGCAGGTGCTGGGGGCCGTGGGGGCCCTACCGGACATCTACATTGAGCTGGAGATCTCCTACTTCCTGCTGCGCCGCCTGCTCGGGGTCCGCACCGAGGGAGACAAGAAGGGAGCCAAGGTGGGCCCCACTCGGTCTCTCTAACACCTACTATTCTCACCAACGGAGGGTCTCTACTGTTAAGCTGACAAAAGTGGTGGAAGCTGCGTGCTCGTTGAACCAGTGGTATATCTTTTGCGACATGATCACATTCCTGCGCAGAGAGCAGGATCAGACGACAAGGGACCTGTGACTGACTGGTTCGTCAAGCACATACCGTATTTACACGAATGTAGGTCGACCCTTTTTTCAATTTTTGAAAATCTGAAGTGGAGGGGTCGACTTATAATTGAACCAAAGCATTCCACCGCCAGCAAAAACGAAACAATCGCAATATCGTGAACACATCGGCTTGTTATGAGTTTAGCCGGTTGTACCTCTAGCACTGCACTATTCTGTGCGCTCATTTTACAAATTAATTATTGTTTTATTTGTGCGAACAAGTATTATTGATAGCAATTCGCAAATTAACCCGAATATACGGCGGTGAACAGCGCATGGCGCGCCCGACTCCCTGGGGGGTGGCGGCACTTTTTGTCAGAGCCACTCTGGAAACTTCGGAGGCCGCTGGAACAGCCTCATGGCCCACTCACCCCGTGGCTTCCCTTCGCAGTTTTTCGCACGATTCACGGTCGCACATTGTTTGATCAAGTGTCGAGGTCATGCTGGAGCACTAACTACGTTTATTTTGCATTGACACGCGTGCATGATCCGGGCAGTTTAGGTTTTCGGTGCTCGTTTATGGCCATTCTTCACTCAGAAGCAACTAACAACTGCGCTGTTGGATGCAAGTTTGACCCGTCAGAGCAGGTGATGCTCCAGTGGAGTCTGGAGTGGCGCGGGATGTGACGGCAAACGAAGAGGCTTCCGCAGTCCAAAGTCTGGATGGGTGGGGATGCCTTCCGGAGTTGGAGGTCAGGCTTGCAATGTACAGCGCAAAAGTGTGCAATCGGTCCCTATTCGTGACGTCCAACGCGATGCAGAGCAAGCGCGAAAGATGCGGTTTATCATTTGCGAAATGTGACATTTCTTTAGACGACGCCGACGATGTGCTTCGAGAACGTGGCAGTGATGATGACGGGACTGACATCACCAGTGAGGACGAGTAATAGTCTAGTCGTGGACGGAGTGAGAACGACAAGGAGCTGCTTCAGTTGTCCCGCCTCCAGCGTGAACTTCCTAGTTTCAATAACGCCTGGGCATCTCATGCACCTCGCGCGTGCATGCGCAGCCAAAGCACACCGGAAGGCATCGATCGCGTGTTGGAGGCTCGGCTTTCAAAACAGATACTTTGCCATTTTCACGTGCTCGCAGTAAAATGCGCATCTAAAGTTTTTTTTTTTTTTTTTTCTTGATGTGCAATGTGGGTGGGTCGACTTACAATCGAGTCGACTTACAATCGTGTAAATACAGTAGATTTCTTGGCACTGTCAGGTGTGAGCGAAGTACTGACGGGGCATGCACAACCTTCTCTGTTGGATGGCCAGATTTTAAAATGTGCATCATGATGTTTGCCAGTTGTAGGAGCACCTTTTGAATTCATTACTGAAGAGGCATCTGATTGAAGAAGGTGGTGCCATTCCTCTTTTATCAGCAACTTTTTTGGGTGTTGAGTCAATGAAATTTAATTGGTTGGCTGGTTCTTCAGTTTGAGTTTGTTTAATGTTAGCCTAGAAAATGCCCACTTGCAAATGTATGTGCTCCAGAAAGTTGATACGCTGAAGAAAGCAATTTCGTGACTAGAAAATGTTTCCTGCAATTGATTGCAATTGATGGCAGGAATTTTTAGCGATATTTCAGTCGCATTGTGGAACCCTGAAGGCCCATGGGATCAAGTTGACACTTTGACAAAACTAGTGCCATTGCTAACGTAGAAAAAAAAATTTATATACTCCCTATGTATATATATAGTATTTTAAATAATTTTTTAGCTTTTCATTTACAATCAATGAATGATTGTTTATGTTTTGAACTTGATGTTGGCTGCTGTCAGACACCCGAATTGTTCCTAAAAATCCCAGGACGTTTTGGGGAATGAAGTGATAACATAGCAGGCAATAAAAGCAAATAGACAGCATTGAAAGTATTTATTCCACCGATTGCTATGAAGGCCGATCGTGTCGGTGTCGCAGTTTTTAAGCACTGTCAGTTCAGCTCAACACCACACTACAAAAGACATTTTGGGGTGCTGTCGGTGCTAACTCAATTTTATACAGGAAATAAAAATTGCGGGAAAGACAGAACTGGGCAGAACGCCTTCATACGGTGGCATTAATCACAAACATCGATCCCATCTTTCTCTGTTAGGGCTAGCTGCTTCGTCATCGAAATGAAGAGCATTTTGATAAAATAAACAGCGGAAAATTCTCCCCATGTCAAGTTTTCTAATCACAGTCACTGGTTGATGTCATTTCGTGGTAACTTCGGAGTCACTTTTCTATCACCACCGCACCGGACGCGAATGAAAGTAAACAATCAAGATGGCAGAGTGTTCTCGGTGTTGGGAAACACTCCGAATAGCGTAGCGTGACAGGGTGTTCTTCGACTGTCAGGGTTGGGGAATACTCCGAACAGTGCGCTGTGACAGGGTCGCTGAAAACACATTTCCCTCGTGTTAATGTGTGGAGTTGTCCAACTGCTCCCTCAAAGTGGCAGTGCCTTTAGGGTTCTAGGATTAGGTTCACACAGCATCTGTAGTGCCCACCAGGGGATTGGTGGCTACACTTGCATCTCGGAGCAAGTGTAGCGAAAGCTGGCGCTGCAGAACCCAGGGATCCCGGGTTGAATTCGCCCCCCTGCCATTACAATGCTGGATCTGGACGAGCGTCGTATCGGCGTGCAGTTTCGTGCTTCAATACTGCATGATGCGCGTTAAGACCCCAGGCTGGCAGTCGCTCTACACCGGGTAAATTTATCATCTACAGCGCAGACATGGTAAAAGGAAAGAGAGGTGTCCGAACAGTGCCTCCTCGCCGCAGAGCAAGTGCTTCAAAGGGTCTCTACCATTTCCGACAAGTGCCGCGAGGTCGTGTAGTACGACTGGGGCTCGAGGAACCGTCCTTATTTTCGCGTACGTTTTCGAACCGGACATTGCCATGCCGGGAGATGCGCACAGGCAGCGGTCGCCCATCGGGGAGGTCAGCTAGCTTCTCGCTGTCTAAATGTTTTGCGCAACGCAATTGTAGTGCCTACCTTCTATGAAATTATTATTAACTTTCAGGATTAGGTTATAATTGCATTCTTAGCATCCATTAATTGTCGAAATGCCCAGTGAGGACTGCAGCACTTGCAGCCTATATGGTTGGAAGAAGTGGACGCGGTGCAAACGTGCATCTCCCATTCTTCCTTGCAGGTGCAAAAGCTCTCCAAGAACGAAGTGCTCATGGTCAACATTGGGTCCCTCTCAACGGGAGGCCGAGTTCTGGCGGTCAAGGCTGATTTGGCCAAGATCAGTCTGACCAGCCCTGTCTGCACAGAGATTGGTGAAAAGATTGCACTCAGTCGTCGGGTGGAGAAGCACTGGAGGTACGTCTAAGGTCTTCCCCTGGTTCTGTCTCTGGTATAGTGACTGCCAAGGTGAGGACGGCAGGGAGGAGCCTCGGTTGTTCCACCTCCAGCACGAGCTCCCTACCTTTGACAACGCTTTGGTGTCTCGCGTGCGCAGCCGAACCATAGACAAAGGCATGGAGCATGTGCTGGAGGTATTTGAAAGCCGCGTCCTGCTGTTCTCACTCTGTCGTTGAGTTTTCAGCTGTCTATTTTGAAGCATAATCTTTAGTGCACTGCACTGTGCAAATGGCATTCAGCTATGCATTTAAGGCTCATTATGGCAGTCATTGATTCAATTAAATTTCCTATGCAACTTTTCTTTTTCGTGTGGCTCTCAAAGAACCCTATATTAATGCAAAAGCATGAACTGTCTTGTGGAGCGAGCCGACATTATCAACCGCGCCAAACGGCAGATAAATTCCCGAAGCCGCGATCTGAAGCATCCCAGCTTTGAAACCACGCAGAAAGCCACGCAAAACAACAGTGATATGAAGCCGCCGCGAGTCAGTTTCAATTAGCGCCACCCCATGGCGTTGCGTGCCCGCGCCGGAGCAGAAACGGCTGAGGCGCCCACTGATCCTCTTGGCACCTCGGCCGTTTCTGCTTCGAGGCGGGCATGCAGCAGACCGAGAGGATCAGGATTGGCTGCGGTGTGAAGAATGACGTTCATGCTTTCGCATCCACAGCTCATAAGAGGTGCTTAGGTGTACCTCGAGCCTTTCTGTTTTTTGGATTTGATGAATTATTTTTGGGTCGGAGCTTCTGCTCACGTTAAAATCTGGTTGATTCCTTCAGGGGCGGATTCAGAGGGGGGGTCCGGATGTCCTGACCCCCCTCTTGAATTCTGCGTGTGTAAAATTTAGGGCGTGAAATAAGGAAGAGGGGGAGAGGGTTCCTAAACAAATGGTACGCTGACCAACACCTGACACCCCCCTCAGGAAATTCCTGCATCCGCCCCTGGATTCCTTTTATCAGCCTTTTCATTCGCAAACACTGGCCCATTGGACTGCCATGGAAGGATGTGTATGGGTGTACCATTTTACCCCTTGTGTTTCCTTCCCGGTTGTTATTTCCTAAAACTGTCACCCTATGCAGTTGATGCAGTGCATTGGGTCAGCCGGCTGCCTTCATTCTCATTCTTTTGCTCCACTCCCTCTCTTTTTCACCTCTTTGCATCTCTACGGGGTGTTTCACGAAAGGGGGACAAATTCGATACTGTCGAGACTGGTTATAACGAAGTCAACGGGAATCGGAAATCACTTTGCTATATCTGCTATTTTGTTATAACTGACTCGGTTAACGAAGTGCAAAAGGAAATGGGAAATCGTGATCGCTTCGCTGTAGCCGTTATTTTGTTATAACTGACTTCTTTATAACCGGTCTCGGCAGTATTGCAAAAACTGCGCATCGCACATAACCGACTTCTTTATAACCGGTCTTGGCAGTATTGCAAAAACTGCGCATCGCACCAAAAAAAGGCTTGTGTCGTTTTGAGCCTATTTAGCAAAATTATTAAAGTTCGGGATAATTAAGTTGTTAATTATTCTTGCATAACTAACTTATTAAATATTGAGTTTAAGGGCATGGTTTCATTCGGAAACCTGCTGAGCATCATTGAAAAACACTAAGTAAAAAAATTGGAGTGCGATAGAAGACATTTGCTGCTTTTTACAGTTCTCTGAAAAACCGCACAACTTCGACGGATTTTTGAGTTTCGGTTTGCACTCGCAGCGCTTCTTGGCACCGACGGCACCGCATCCCGTTGAGAAATAGTGCTACAGCAAAGCAGATATTGGTTCCACTATTTCTCCACAGGGCACGGTGCCGTCGATGCCGAGAAGCGCTTCGATTGCAAACCGAAACTTAAAAAATTGTCGAAGTTGTGCGGTTTTTCAGAGAACTGTAACAAGCAGCGCATGTCTTCTAACGCACTCCAATTATATTATTTAGTGCTTTTTGATGATGCTCAGCAAGTTTCCAAATAAAACCATGCCCTTAAACTTAATATTTAATAAGTTAATTATGCAAAAGCAATTAACAAATTAATTATCCTGAACTTTAATAATTTTGCTAAAGAGGCCCCTGGCCTAGGACCAAAACAACACAAGCCTTTTTTGGTGCAATGCATAGTTTCTGCAACATCGAATTTGTCCACCTTTCAGAAACCCTTTATACCATGCTTTTTTCCTTTCTGGTGGGAAAGGGGTTTGGGGGGGGGGGGGGGGGGGGGGGGTTGTTGGTATGATTGTGAACTAGGCTCAAAAGGAACTCATGATTTCTCACCAGCCCATTCTGCGTTCCATCTTTTTCTTTGCAACATGCATTCACACTTTTGCTGTTCTTGCTTCCCCTGGTTCTGCTAGTTTCATTTTGCTTAGAGCAGTCGTCTCAAACTCAATTGAGCGTGGGGGCCAGATAACCCACACCGGAAAGGTCGAGGGCCAACATAAAACAAGGGGGGGGGGGGGGTTTAAAAGATTTTAAAGAGAAGATACCCTGTGCTCTATGCTTGTTGTCAACTCACAGTTTTTGCAGTGGCATCTTAAGGTTTTATTTGTTTATATGATTTGGGCCCTGACATGCTGTGATAACAGTAATTACGATGACACCGCCCCACCAAAATGCTGGCATTTTTAATAATAAAGTACACTGTCGTTATGGTTGCTTAATTCACTCAGGAATTACCCAAGATAAACATTTCCCTATAAGAAAAAGAATGGTTAATTTGACAGTTGTTGCTTTTCTGGCGATTTTTTTATAACACTATAAAAATATTAATTTTTTAATACCTTTTTTTTTAAGGCGAGAATTCAGAGTTTGTAGCTTTATCTTTGGCAGTTGCTCCTGCTGACTGATAGTTCAAACAGCCGAGATTGTTGTACATTACAAAAAGCTGGGAAGCAAAATATAAAGCGAAACAAAGGGCAAATGAACACAGATGAGTATAAACTATGTGAACTTGTTAAAAGAGCAGAGCTACTTTTCGAGTGAAAATAAATTGGCGAGAAGAGATTCTATGGCGCATGCCATTTCTAGCGCCCGGGACGTGAAAACTTGGACTCGTAGTCGGTTGACTGCGGGCCGCGTCCCAGCGAGTCGCGGGCCGCGTGTTTTAGACCCCTGGCTTAGAGTTTAGAATTCTTATCTGAGAAGAAGGCTTTCACCTTTAACCCCTTAGCTGTCATGTTATTTAAAAAAAAAAAATGACCTAAAAAGTCTGCATTTCTTTTATTGAGGAGTGTCCATCCTTAGGCATCACAGATATAATGAAAAAAGTTTATAATACCAAAATGTGTACATTTCTGCATATACGGTACATGAACTTACAGTTCTGCACATGCAAAAAGAAGCATCTTGAACTGTCGAGAGTTGGGCTAGTTGGTACTGTATTTACTCGCATAAAGGATGTACTCAGATAATGTACGAACCCCTCACAACGGGTACCAATATTTGGACTTTTTTTTCCCCTCGCGAAATCAATGCACCTCCAATTTTCAGCTCCACGAGTCTCGAATTTCAGCCAATTTAGCTAGCCACCAAGCCAAGCCAAGCCGCTGTCGTAATGGCCGCAAGTGCATAGTTGCGGTAGTTGCAGGAGTGACCAACTGTGAAACTGAACAGCGCACACACTTGACGAAGCTTAGGTCGATGAATTACCCAGCCCCAGACATTCTTCACCTATCGGGTGTATTGATGTCAATGAACATGCCGTCGTGCATTTCCCGTGTACACAATACAGTTCCAGATGTATGCCAACTCTGCTTTGCACAACAGAAACAGCTTCATACCAAATCTGGCTCTTTTAAAAAAAAAAAAAGTTGGGTTGTGTGTATGTTTATACAGCCTAAAACTTGGTCTGCCTCAACGGGCGACGAGTTTCCCTGCTGTAGATGAGCAATGAGTAGTGGTGCCAGCTCAGTCGACCCTTATAAAGCATCAAGCTCTCGTCGATGGATATGTCTCTCTCAAGAAAGTACAGTGCTTGAAAGTCATGGTTGAGGCACGAAAGGAATGCGGGTGTGTTTTTTGGGGTCCACGGAACTTTGTTGTTCACGAAATGCAACATTTTCACTGTCAGAAGAAACCGGTTGCGGCTCATTATTTCACCAAATACTGTTGGGCTCACGAGGTTGTTTTGGCTCCAGCACATGCTTTGTTCATGTTTGTGCGCAACTCCTTAGAGCAGCAGGAGTGCTGGAAACATGCTCATTTCTCCAGTCGTCACTGGCACTTAGCTTGCAAATCGGGAGCGCAGCTTCAGTTCTGATGTGAGAAACTGGTCGGTGTACCCGTCTGTTTCTGTGACCATGACCTCGACCATTTCATCATCCACAATGGTCTCAAAGTATTCAAGTGCGTCACTTGGATCTTCTACGTTGAATGACCTTCTTGGGGATGTGAGGAACGGAGAGTGAGGGGGTGCAGGGGGCACCAGCACGTGCGTCACTCCTGCACCACTGCCTAGAGACTACGAAGTTGCCTCCGCCGTCCGAATCATCCTCATCCTCGACATCCTCTTTATTTGAGGAACCAAGTTCCGCAACAAAATGATTGTCGTCGCTTGATGAGCAAAACTCCATGTCTTCTTTGGAGTCACTGGAGCTGCTCGAGTTTTCATCGGAGATTGTTTTTCTTTTTCCTGATGAAGATGCGCACGCTCCTTCGGCAAGCGAGGCCATTTTTAAACAACTGTTGTCAGAGCAGAACTGCAGAACAGCAAGAAAAGATAGAAATAAACTTGCGAGCCAACTGGAACACGTGCTGCCATAAAGCACTGGGACAAGCTTGATTCGTCTGCGGCATCAAGGAACATAGGAGATGCCCACAAACGGGCTGAGCTTGTTCATGGCACTTATGGGGTTAGGTTTTTTTTATTTTTTTTAAGTCTCTTTATTAATTCGAGCTCAAACATTTTTCAAGCATGCTGGTCATGTTATGCTACCATTGATGCAATATCGGGAGGATATACTGTGCAACACAGTTCTATTGCAGCTGCTGTAATATGAGGAAGCCAGAGTGTTCCACTCATGATACAATGACACGGTTATTGTGTCAACCTTGCGCCTCTGTGCCATGGCACTGGTGCGCTAAAAGGAGTGGCTAATGAGGGGGGAGTGTCTGGATTTGCTCGATGGGCTTGGAACTTTTGTTTGCTCTTATACGTCAACATTGTTTCATCATGAGTATAGGTCTAGTCCTAATATTAAAGAACTACGCACAGAAAGCATTTCAAGCTATATTTGAATATATATGACTATTCTTCACAGCTGCAAAAGTCCATGTCACAATTTTGTGTTTGAAGGTTCCTTTCTTTCTCATCTGTAGCCAAGAAAGGAAACTGATCTTCACATATAGCAAAATGATGTTTGTTAATCTGGAAGGGGAATAAAAAATATGGACATCCAAAAGTGTCGTGCTAAATGTTTTTTTAATACTTGCATGTTTCAGGCATTTTTGCTACAGGTTCTTTTTTAACTGGCACTACTATTGTGTTGGCTTATTGTAGCCTAATAGTAATATTTTGTTTTCGTTTCCCAGTAGTTATTAGTCGCCATCTGTGCTTGCTGAATACCCAGCCCACATTGCTCTCGCATTCCTAAACATGCGTGGCTCTCTGTTGAAAGGAGTCAGGTTTTTCATTTTCTTCAGCCCTGTTGAACATGTTTAGTGTAGTTGAACACTATATTTTACTATAAACTACTTTCTAGAAAGTTCTGATGTCCATATCTAATTAAGAAATATTACTGTAAAATCCCCAGAGATGGCCCAACTCCAAAAAGATAACCCACACCAATTTTTTTCTTGATCTGCTGTAAAGATAGCCCACTCTTAGTAGTCATAGTGTTCTGATCTTGGCATAAATGCATCTAATTAGCAATGGCGGGATAGAAGCGAATATTGCTGACTGGGTAGTACAGACGTCTTTGCTTCATTGCCCCTCGCCGTGATAACAAGTTTGACAGAGACACATATTCTAAAGATGGCATTTTTCAACTTTTCTTGATTGTACGCTGAAAGTTGGCCCACTCATTACTTTCACCCAATTTTCTCTCTATTTTAGGTGGGCTATCTTGGGATTTTACGGTACATTCTTTTTTTCTGGGTGAGCTTTCGTGATGAGCAGAAGTGATTTCCAATGTTTAGTTTCCAGTGGCTTGCAGTCTTGATATTTTTCTGAAGCGTTAGAAGCGACATTGTGGCAACTTTGTTTTTGGGGAGAGGCTGCATCGCACCCTCCTTATTTTTGCAATTCCTTTGTGCAGGTTGATCGGATGGGGTCAGATCCGAAGAGGAGTCACCGTTAAACCAACCTCTCAGGAGTAATGAAATTGAAAAAGAATTCCAGAACAACCTCGACTTCTGGCTTTTTTGTTCTGATATAAAAATGAAAGAAAATGGCTTCGAGTCTGATTGCTTGGTGGCTGACTGAATCAGAAGATGAATTAATTCGAGCATATTATATGTGCAGTCTGCTTTTAATCCCTTTTAAATCCCATTCGTCTTTGAAAGAGCTGGGCTTCAGCTGACATCAACAAGCATTTTCTCTCAAATTCCAAAATCTTGCAGGTCCCGAAAGAGAATAAATTTTCTTAGGATTTTGTTCAGCAAGAGTTTGAGATACTGTTTTTTTGTTCATGAAGTAAGAAAAGCAGTAATGTGACTGCTGCGTCCTTTGCGCCACAATGCGCCAAAGGGCTTACCCTGCTACATCCTGCTACATTTCACCAAAATGTTTGGGGTGCAACGTTGGCGCAAATTCTTCAGAGGAATATGCAAGAACTAGGGTTGCCACCTTTCCCGGAAAAAAAAAACAACAAAAAAAACGGCCCTTCGACGGGGGGGGGGGGGGGGCTATATATTTAAGTTTAGGAGATTGAATTCGTGTTGAAAGGAAGATGCCACGTTCGTCTTTGACAGGCAGTGCAATTTATTGTAACGAATGATTTCCTAGAGAGGAATTAGTATAATGTACATGTACACAAATACACAGCACTGAGCTCAATAAAATGTGCAATTATACAGTGCTTAAAGTCTCCCGTAAGTTGAGGGGGGTCCCTACAAGAAGGTGGGGGGGGGGGGGGGGGGGGGGGGGGTTCTGACGAGATGTACTAGATGCACATAAAATAGACCCCACTGCTGACTCTACCCACGCTGTACCTGCAACCCCCAAATTGCTAATCCCCAAATGTCGGATTTCTGAAAACAAGCTATTTTATTGCAAGATATGCTTTTGATTTCACTCATGCTGGGGTCGTGGAGGGGGGTCTCAGACCATCCGTTAAAATCAGTGGGGGGTCCGAGACCCCTGAGACCCCGCAGACTTTAAGCCTTGCAATTATATACTGTAAACGACTTAATTTTCGCGGGCTCAAATTTTCGCGAATCGGGCCAAAGCTAACAATTTGAAATTATTCGCGGGTTCTAATTTTCGCGAATCGAGTGTAGCTTCTGTAGTGTTCACATATTGGCCGAATTGTTTGCGGGACACATTTTTCGCGAATTGTAGGCGACTCGCGAAAATTTACTCGTTTACAGTGCCCTCTTTAGTGAAAAATACATTTCTGACTAACTTGCTGTGCACAGTAGATGGAGAACCAACTAGTCTGCTGGTTGGCATAAAAATATCGGTGAATGGAATAACATTTGTACTAAAAGTGTCTGAGGTTTTTGTTGCTGCTCTCAGAAAGCGTTACGCTCGTGTAGACTGAGCGCAAATCCATATTTTTCCTGAAGTCGCCAGCTCGGGGTTTTAGACGAGTAGATCACGTCTCTTCAAATCAAATCAACTTTATTTATGGCCTTGAGCCAACGGTGCCCCCAAACAAAAAGCTGCCAGAGGCAGCTTGACAAAGTCAGGGACCCGTCTCTAGTTTGCCAGTACAACAGAAAACCACATGCACACATTAGCTATGTACAAAGGGAGAATACCCTCCGGGCGGCCACTCCGGCGCCACCGTCGCTTGCGCTCCCCAGCGCCGCCCGTGGTCGACCTAAGAACGATTGGTATGTTCCCATCTGAAAATGGCGGCTCGCACGTGCGATCTGACGGTGCTCTTTTGCGGCTTCAGAAGGATTGACGAGATCGCAGAATATTTCAAAGAAAAGTCACTGAAGTTAGGGGAGCAACTTTATGCGGGCCGTCACGTGTTTGGCGTGAAAGAAGTCCTTCATTCCACAGCTCCCAGCGAAGTTGTAGGGAAATGCCTCGCGCAGATGAGGTCTGCTGTTTACAACGTCCGGCTTCAGGTGAGCGTGCCACCCGGTTCGGTTTCGCGTACCCCCCCTCCACTCCTCATTTGTTGTTGTTCTGATTTCTCGCTTCAACCGTGCATAACACATTTTTTTTTTTTTTTTTTTGCTACGGCAGTTTTCTGCGCACCCGAGACTCATCGTGGGCGCGAGCTGCACCTGCAAGGCTGGCGTGCGTGGGTGGTGCAAACATGGAGCAGTGTGTCTCTGTCGTCACATTGCATCTCGCCTTGTACGACGAAGGGAAGATCGTGGGGATGTAAGCGGGGTGCTGAGCGATGGAGCTTTTTTTGTTTCCTACGAAGTGGCAGCTGCAAATCCTGGCCTGCCCATTCGCGGGTTCCCAGGAGTCTCCGTCTCCGCTGTACACAAAAATGCAGTGTCTAACTGTGCCAGCGAGAAACAATTCTGTATCATGGAGAGCAAACAAAAACCGAGAAGGGACAAAAAAAAAAAAGGTTTCCTTACGTTGCGCGCCGCACCGCTGCAACCCATTTCCGTCGACGCTCTGCCTCGTACGGCTTTGCTGGAAAGCGGTAAAACTCTACCACTGGGAGCTTCCCAGCTGTGTTTCCGTAGCTGTTGTGGCAGTCTAAAGCGCGAAACACATGTACGACGAAACCGTCCGATCCGACGTCCGACCGCGCAATACGACGGTCGGAGGCGAGGGTTTTCGACGCTCTCCGATGCTACGAAAACCCTCTCCCCCCAAGGTCATTCCGGCAGTCCGCACGTCGGATCGGAAGGTTTCGTCGTACCTGTGTTTCGCGCTTAAAGCGCGAAACACATGTACACATCGCGACACTGTTAGCGCGAACACGACATCGGCTCATTTTCGCATTGTACTTGTAAATAGCATTTGCGAGCACGAAAGTTTATCGCTTATATTATAGAACTAAGTGAGCTCTTTCCGTATCAATAATAACTTGGATGACATCCCTTGGCTTCAAAGAGAAAAACTGGAAAAACCGGCGATCGCTTGTTCGCGCTAACAGTGTCGCGCTCTGTACGACGAAACCGTCCGATCCGACGTCCGACCGCGCAATACGACGGTCGGAGGCGAGGGTTTTCAACGCTCTCCGATGCTACGAGAACCCTCTCCCCCCAAGGTCATTCCGGCAGTCCGCACGTCGGATCGGAAGGTTTCGTCGTACATGTGTTTCGCGCTGTAAACACAGCAATAAACAGAAGTGCGCTTTTTCGACTGCGTTGTTGCGGACGACATAACGAAAGCAGCCGGGTACGCCTGCACTTTACGCCTGGCAAGCCTAACGCGAAAGCAGTCGGGAAGGGCGGTAACCGCGGTAACATACCAATAGTTTTTATTTCGTCGGACAGATGGCGCCACGGGTTTTTTCAAAACACCAGTGCCCGGAGCGTATACTCTTATGTGATCAAATAATGAAAAGCGCCTCTCCTTGCTCGTCACTTCACCCCAAGCCACAATCTGTGGTCCACTCGTCCAGCGTCCTAAACCTGCGAAAAATCCTGGCTGTTTCCCCTCCTACCGGTCGTTATTCTGCCCTGCGGTGCCTTTCTCCGCCTCCGAAGACGACTTTCTTACATCTTACCCCCCCTCTGGTTGCATCACTTTTTCCCAACCGCTATTCCTGGGTGCCTGAGAGAGCGCGTCCGCCACCTCATCCTTCGAGTACTTTCGGTACTCGACTCGAGGAGACACCTGCTGAGCTCTGCTGTGAGACAAGTCGCCAAAATTAAAACAGACTTTGTCCCAAAGGGCTTCGTTAGCGTTAGTGAACAACCCGCTCAACGAATCCGTGGGGCTTCCTGGGGATGAACAGAAGAAGCAGAGACCGGGCCCAACGTTGGGTGCCATTTGTATGTGGGGTTGCTCTAAAGTAATCGCCGCTCGATCGGTTGTGCTTCGCTCGTCTCCCAGAGAGTGACACACTGCAACGAGAAGACAGCGAATAGGTTTACTGTACTTCCCGGTTGCCCGTCCTCGAGGGCCGGCAGTCCGGGCCCGCCGGTCTTGGTCCGAACCTCGCTGGTGGACCGCTCCGGGGTTCACCATGGGCCAGACCAGCCAGACCTGCTCCGTCGTTCCTGCCCGGCCCCAGCGTCGCGCAGCCCGCTCTGTCACGCGCCAGCTCGTGCCTCTTCGTCCGATCGCCTGGCACGTGCCCTCCGCCCCGTCGTCTTCAACCCTCGTCTCCCACAGAACCCGAGTCCTCTTGTAGCCATACCACGGAATGATTGGCTTACGCCACTTTCCGGCGCGAAGCGATTATTTTCGAGCAGGTCGCGAATTGTTTATCATGCGGTGGTCCGCTGTCGAATCACGTGGCTGCAGAAGCGCAATGCGGCCGGTTAGCCTCATTGTATTGTTGAGAGACGAATTCTGGATAACGTCCTAATTTATCTAAAAAAGCGTAAAAGCAACAACAATTTCGGCCCTCTAAGAAAAAAAAAAAAAAAGTATCAATGCTGCGCGGGTTTTTCCAAAACGTCCTCGGCACCTTATGCTATGATTTCAGCTATTCACTGTCATTTATTTTCTGGGTGTGTACTTTATTTTTTCAGGGTGGAGTGTAACATGTCGTGAAAACATACCGCACTTGCTGAGTTTCAAGCTGGCCGAGTTATGGGCAATTGCGCTCATACATCATTTTTCTGGTGCAATACACTATTTTCAAAAGTCTATGCACCCTGAGGCGAGCAAAATAGAATATTTGGCTCGCGTTTCGAACGTGCGTCATCACGCTTCCCCGCTACAGTTTTTTATACCCAGTTCCATTCTAAGTGCCAGCGTATCAGAGGCTACAAGAGCGAGCTCCGAGCTTGCAGTGTCCCAAGCACGCGCGCTCGTGCAGTGCGAGCACCGTTCGGGGCGCCTCTCGGCGACTAGTGGCGAACGCCCAGAGGTTCCAACTAGAGCACTGCACGGGCTCGGGCCGGCCCGCGGGCCGGGCTCGGGCCGGGTATCACGTATTTTTTAGGGCCCGGGCCGGGCTCGGGCTTGAAAAAAAATATTTTCGGGCCGCGTCGGCCCGGGCCGGCCCGGGCCGTGCCTGGTCAGTCGTGTGCCGTAAATTTTAAATTGTTAACAACAATAGAGGAGTATCTACACGGCAAGAAAGACTACTCGTGCTCAGGAGTGTCTGAGCATTGTGACTTCTCGAGAGCGCG